GCTTCGACGACGAACAGATAGGGTTGGTATGGCGATGGTGAAGATAAAACGCTAACGCACAATCGAGGGAGGAAAAAGATGTTCCATTAAGGGAGGGAATTTAGATCGTTTGGGAAGAGCGAGGGAGGAACGTGGTGTCTTGTTCACAGCGAAAGCACAGAATGCAGAGGGAACGTAGAGAGTTGAGGGGCGAAGGTTGAAGAGGGAAATCGTACCGTTCACCGTCAATGTTGCCGATCGACTGACGGAACCGGCGAGATTCGATGCGGAGCAGGCGTACTCTCCGGCGTGTCTTGCAGAGACGCCGTCGATGCTAAGGGTGCTCAGGTGTTTGCTGATTCTCGTTACCGTGATACTAGCGTCTTTCGACGTGTCGATCGGCACGCCGTTGAACGCCCACGATATGTCCATCGGCATGTCGCCTTTCAAGATCGAACAAGGTACGGACACGGAATCTCCTGAATTGGCCACCTCGGCATTGAACGCGATCGGCAGAAGCTGCGGGCCAACTGAAGTCGTCGTGCGATTAGAATCTCTCAAGTCTCATCGCATGCTACGTACACGGGGCCCTGTGGATCTCGTTGATTCGAATCGCAATGATAACAAGGTATATAGACGTCTGTAGACGCAGCGTGTTCCAAGTCTCTCGAGAGCGAATGTTTCTAGTCGAAAGGGGGGATTTCTGTCGTGGGGGAGGGTGGTTCTCAATGCCAGAGGAGATCAGAGGCCAGGAGACACAAAGAGGGACTTCACTACGGTGCTCTTTGCCAGGATTGTGCAGAAAAAAAACGAACGAAACGAAAGAGCGAGAGAGCGAGAAACAGAGAGAGAGAGAGAGAGACAAAAAAAAGAAAAGAGAAAAAGTAAAAACGAGAAAATGTATTATATATCTCTCTAGGAAAACGGATGATGATAGTCCCGAACCATTGACGGTGAGTGTGGTCGAATGGGACGCGGTTCCAGCCGCGTTTTCAGCGGTGCAAACATACTCCCCCGCGTGTCTCGCGGTGATGACTGATATCATGAGCATGCTAACGCGATCCGCGACCTTCTTCGCAAGTACGCCGGAGGAACCGCCCATCTCTTCTCCGGGATAGCTCCAACGTATGTTCAAAGGCAGGTCACCGGTCGGTACGATACACTGCAGGTTTGCGAACTCTCCGGCGTTCATGGGTAGCTTCGTGAACGAGAACTGCTGTATCGTGGGCGGCACTGGGGGTGGAGGATCGATGTATGGACGTGTAATGACAGGTCGCGAGCGTATGTAACGTGATTGTGTACGCTGTCGTATGTACGTCGCGTGTACTGGCGTGTAAACGTCGATGGGTTGGCTCCGTTTTCCTGGCTTTCTTTTGTTAGCTATGCAAATTCGTGACTCTTCCTTTTTTTTTTTTTTTT